TCACTACACCCACGTGCAGGATGCTTTCCCGTGGCCCAATGTGTCCCTGCACATCCTTGAACTGTCAGCCTCGGCTGCCCCCCCCCCATTTCACAGGTAAGGCAGAGAAAGGTGAGCCCCAAAGGTGAACACTGGAGCTGCAAACTCTGCAGGGCAGGTGCAGAAACCCTCGCAGAGCCAAGGCAGGAGGGCTGGGGAAGATGGAAGCTGTAGTCCCACAGGCCAGGAAGAAGGGGGGGGGACTCAGACGCTTCCCCCGCGGGACCCCCAGGTGTAGACACACACACACACACACACACACACAGAGCCCAACCAGTCCTCCTTCCCCGCCGCCGCTCACCTGCCGCGGATGTCGCTGACTCGCTCGGCCACCCGTCGAGGGGCCGTCGCTCCGGCCGCCCTACATGCGCCCCCGGTGGCTCAGCCAGGCCAGGGCGGCCAGCAGCGCCAAGGAAGTGGCCAGGCCGGTGCCGGCGGAGGCGCGGCGGCTCCTGGCCGCCCTTCGCGCCGCCGTCCGCGCCTGCAGCTCATCGCCGATCGCTTGGAGGCGCGCCGCGGTGAGCTGCGCTCCGGAGACGCGCGCCCTGCCCGGGCTGCTGCTGCTGCTGCTGCTGCTGCTGTTGCCGCCGCCGCCGCCGCCTCCTCCGCCTCCGCCGCCGCCGCCGCCGTGGCTGCTGCAGAAACAGCCGGCCGGGGGGCGGCCGGGCAGGGCGCAGGGGCACATGGCCGGGCCCGCCGCCGACGGCGCGACGCTCCTCCAGCCGCCGCCGCCGCCGCCGCTGCTCCTGCTCCCTCCGGCCAGCCCAGCGCCGATCGCCAGCCCAGCGCCCGCTTCGCCCGCCGCCGCCGCCGCCGCCGCCGCCGCCTCCTCCTGCCGCGGCTGTCAGTCTGGCGCGGAGCGAGGCGCGCTCGGGCGTCACATGCTGGCTGAGATCATCCTCCTCCTCGACGGGGCGGCCGCAAGACGGCGGCGAGGGAGGCGGGCGGGCGGGCGGGCGGAGAGCCTTAACTCTTCCCTTCCCTCTTCCCTTCCCTCCCCCACCCCCACCCGCTTCCTGCCCTCTCTCTCTCCCCGGCATCCTTTCCTTCCATCCTTCCTTCTTTCGTCTTCCTTTCCCTTCTTCCTTTCCTCTCCTTTCCTTTCTTCCTTTCCTCTTTTCCCTTTCTTCCTTTTGTCCCCTTTCCCTTCTTCCTTTCCTTTTTCCCCTTTCTTCCTTTCCTTTCTTCCTTTTCCTCTTTTCCCTTTCTTCCTTTCCTCTTTCCCTTTCTTCCTTTTGTCCCCTTTCCCTTCTTCCTTTCCTCTTTTTCCTTTCTTCCTTTCCTCTCCTTTCCTTTCTTCCTTTCCACTTTTTCCTTTCTTCCTTTCCTCTTTTCCCTTTCTCCCTTTCCTCTCCCTTCCTTTCTTCCTTTCCTCTCTTCCTTTCTTCTCCTTTCCTTTCTCCCTTTTCTCTCCTTTCCTTTCGTCCTTTCTCTCCTTTTCTTTCATTCTTTCTCTCCTTTCCTTTCTTCCTATCCTCTTTCCCCTTTCTTCCTTTCCTCTTTTCCCTTTCTTCCTTTCCTCTCCTTTCCTTTCTTCCTTTCCTTCTTCTCAATTTCCTTTCCTTCCCCTTCCTTCCATCCTTCTTCTCATTTTCTCCCTCCCTTTCCCTTCCCTCCTTCGTGTACTCTTTCATTCTATTCTTGATTCTACCCTTTATACCTCCCTTTCTCTCTTTTCTTTCTTTCTTTTTTTCTCAGGCTCTTTTCCCTTCCCCATTTTCATTTTTTCTTCCTTCCTTTTTTTTTGCTTTCTCTCTGCTTCAGTATGTTTCTTTACCTCTCTCTTTACAAATGTTCTCCCTCCTCCTCCTCTTCCTCCTCTCCTCTCCTTCTCCTCTTCCTCTACTTCTTCCTGCTTTTTTCTTCTTCCTCCTCTTCTTCCTCCCCCTCCTCCCCTTAATTGTGCCATTCTTAAAAGTCAAGCAAATGCATGACCACATAACCTTTTGTGGATGTATTTATTTCACTTTTTCAGGGAACAGTAAATCTGTTACACTTTAAAGTACCCCAAGTTATGTTGCATTTAGATCTCACACCATCCTTTTGTTTTCGAATGGAATGGCTGTACACAAAACACACAAACCATGGATGACACCCTGCAAAGCAAGGATTGCACCAAGTAACAACACCCAAACCAAGCAATGTACATGCTACCATTTGATTCAGAGTGTAAACACCATCTTTATCTTTGGCTTGTCCTCCCTCACAGGGTTGCTGTGAGGATCAAATGAGGGGAAGCCCACATATTTGCCACCGGAGACTCTCTGAAAAATGTTGAAGGTGCTTTCTATGCAGAAAAAAAGGAAGACAATGCTTTCTACGTGGGGAAAAAAACAAAAAGGAATGAAAAAATACTCTCTGCATGGAAAGGTCTGAAGAAGTTGATTTCCGTGTGGAAAGGGGCCTGACTCAGCTTCCAGGGAAAAAACACTCAGAATTCTAGTGAGCCATTTCTGGTTAGAGAAAAAAAATGCTGAAGTCAAGATTCTGAATATCTTGTTGACCTGGGTTAAAGCACTGTCAATAGAGGAGAATATCTGTAGCTTGGGGTTGAAATGAGAGTGCTTTCTTTGATGCTCTCTGAACTTGATTGTTTTCCTGCAGACATTTCATTACCAGACTAGTTAACATCATCAGTGCTAGAAAGGAGTGGAGTTGCGGAGAAGGAGGAGGAGGAGGAGGAGGAGGAAGAAGAAGAGAACTATGGGGTCCTTGGTGCTTTCTGAGCTAGATTGTTTTCTTGCAGACGTTTCATTACCAAACTAGATAACATCATCAGTGCTAGAAGGCAGCAGGATTCACTTTCTGCTTATATGTCAAATAGCCTAGTCAAGAAACCACCAAGAACATACCCACTGACACTGACAGAGAAAGCCACCAGTATAAACAGGGAACAAACCCCGCTGCCTTCTAGCACTGATGATGTTACCTAGTTTGGACGATGAAACATCTGCAAGGAAACGGCCAACCTTAGAGAACACCAAGGACCTCTTAAAAAAGCATCGTCCTATGGTCCTTCCAGGTAATGTAGGAAGCAGCTACCTCTGTGCACCTTTGAAGCAGGTTTTGCAAAGAAATGAGAAAACATGTTCTTTGGAGGGTACCTCCTAGTCCTTGCACGCTTACACACTCAGACTTATGGAAAAGCACAGCCTAGCATTTCATGCAAGGTGTGAAGCCAGCCTACATTTTAAAATCTTTGACACAGGAGTGTTAACTTTTAATTGCTGTGCAATTCTAAGTCCCCAATAGGCAATTCAGCCACAGGATAAACTGAGTGTTTGACAAATTGCTGATTTTTTTTAAATAGTTCACAGTTTTGGATATGTACAGGCAAAGAGAAACAGCAAATTGAGAGACAACAAGAGTGAGGCATATTAGTGAAATGCGAAAATATACAGAAATGCTAGACAACTTTATATTTTGAGATTGGGCCAGACATAGCCGATCAACTGTGTTTTTTTTTTAAAGACTAGCTACCTCTGCTTTAGCTCCTTGTGACAAGAATAAATTAAGCAAATATTCCAAAATAAAGGAAGACTCCAGGAAATCAGTCCTTGAAACACCTCACCCTTTTGGGACATAACAATAAAATTGATCATTACAATACAAAAATCAATTTCACAAACCAACATGTCAGCCCCGCTGGTTTTCTGGTCAGTTTCCCAAAACCTACAGAACATCCTTCTCTGCTCCAACAGCTTTCCAGAAGTCAAGTGAACATTTACTGCATGCTGGCTGGGGAATTCTGGGAGCTGAAAGCCCCACACATCTTAAAACACTGTACTAAGCCAATGCGTAGACCTCTGAGTGTTGTGAAATTCAACCTAAGCAAGCACAACCAATGGTGCAAGTTGTGGCTCATGGGTTGGACTACAGATTCCATAACTCCAAGCCATGGTGAAGTGGAAACAAGAGGGATTTGGTTTCCAACACACACGGCAAGGATCCAGTCACTGAAGGCTGCATTGTCTTACATTGTCCATCTTTAATTTTCTGCTGCTGAATGACATCTATCCCCACCACAGTTCCTAGAGATGAATGCCAATCGCCAAGGGGCCAGTAGGTGGCAGCCACGAGCTATGGCAAACTCAATCTCTGTGACAACCTGGTGGTCCCCACCAGCTTTGCAGAATTTTCACCCCTAAGGACCGAAAAGATGAAAACGACACAATAAATAGAGTTGGAAGGGACCTTGGAGGTCTTCTTGTCCAACCAGGAGATCCTATACCATTTTAGACAAACGCACCCACAACTTCTGGAGACAAACTGTTCCACTGATCAATTGTTCTGACTGTCAGGAAATTTCTCCTTAGTCCTAAGTTGCTTCTCTCCTTGGTTAGTTTCCATCCGTTGCTTCTGGTCCGGCCTTCAGGTGCTTTGGAGAATAGCTTGACTCCCTCTTCTTTGGGGCAGCCCCTCAGATATTGGAAGACTGCTGTCATGTCACCCCCTTGTCCTTCTCTTCTTAACAGTCACAGAATACAGAATAAACGAAGTTGGAAAGGACCTTGGAGGTCATCTAGTCCAACCCCCTGCTGGAGCAGGAGACCCTACATACCATTCCAGACAGACGGTTATACAACCTCTTCTTCTTAAAAGCCTCCATTGACGGAGCAACCACAACTTCGGGAGTCAAAGTCGTTCTAAACACCAAGCATCCCTCTTCCCCCGAGTTTTGCAGACGGACGACGGTGTATTGCGCGCACGCACACGCGCGCGCGCGCGCAAGTGGGGGGGGGGGGGAACTTCACACTTTCTCCACCGCGCCGAACTAAGTCACGTGACGCGCAGGGAACGGACAGGCGGGAAAACAGGGTGTTTTTGGGGGGGGGGTGTTAACGGGAGCGCCCCCTTTGCTGGGCGGAACGTTTTGTGCGCCGCCCGCAGTTTCCCAGCCGGCCGCTTTTGCGGGTCGGACCTTCGCGACCGGAAGAAGTGGCCGGTCCGTCGGCGCGCCTCCTCCGGGGCCGCCATGGTGGAGAATGCGTCCTCCTCGTCTTCGGCGGCGGCGGCGGCGCTAGATTCGTTCCGCCGCCGTTGGCAAGCCGAGCTGTCCCGGGAAGGCCCGAAGCGTCAGAGGAAGAGCGGCGGGAGCCGGAAAAGGCCTCGGGAAGCGGAAGGCGAAGAGCCGCCTCAGCCGGTGCGAAGCTGGGGCGGCTACGGGGGTCTCCTTGGGGGGCTGCTGGAGGGAGAGCCGCCGCTTCAGCGCCTCCTGCTCCGCGACCCTCCCGAGCCTGAGCGGGACCCCGAGCCCGCTGCAGAGGCCCCCGGAGGAGGAGGAGGAGGAGGAGGAAAGGAGGACCTTCTGGGGCAGCTCATTCAAGACTTGGTACGGGAACTGAACTCTCCTGCCCTTTTTTATGTATATAATAATAAATTACATGTAATATAATATGAAAAATATAAAATATAATATACTGTAATTATATACATACCTATATATGTGTGTGTGTGTGTGTGTGTGTGTATAATATTCATTTAATATATCATATAAGTTATATATATAATATGTATATGTGTGTGTACATATGTGTGTGTGTGTGTATAATATATATATATGTATGTATGTATGTTTTCGTAGATTTTCATGGGTACAGGTATGTAGGTCTAGGTGTGTTCGGGTCTTTTCCTGTGTAAGATTAAGAGTATCTTGGCGACGTTTTGGTGAGGTCCCACTCACCATCCTCAGGCTGAACACACCTAGACCTACATATATACATACACATACACATACACATACACATACACATACACACACACACACACACACACACACACATATATATTTGTTTTCTTAAGTTAAAGTTAAAGCTGAATACCATACACACACACACACACACACGCATATAATTCGTAAAAATTTTGAATACAGTGTATTCAGGCATATCATTTACAAAAAAATGAAGAAAACAAACATGTTGACATGTAGACTAATAACAATAGTGCACTCAGATGGAGTGTTCTCATTTTTACTTTCTCCTCCTTTTTGGCTTCAGCAGGTTTCCCCCGCCCCCCCCTTCCCACCCCCCCACCCCCCGCCAGATTTCAGGCCCTGGAGGCCCTCCCCCGCACCCCTCAAGAAAATCTCTTTCCCCAACCTGGTTCCCTTCAGGGTGGATTGGATTACAGAATCCATTATTCTCTGACTCTCGTCCCGCTTTTTGATTCCTGTTCAATTTCTTGTTCTACTGCACCGAAAGGAGTTGGAAGTCAACGCCTTTTTTTCTCTTTTCCCCTCCCCTATTTTTCCTATTTTTGCTGGTGTGTTTTTGTATTTTATGTTTTATACATGTGTGGGGGTATCTGTCTGTCTATCTTCCTATCTATCTATCTATCATCTATCTATCATAACTATCTATCTACTATCTCCATGTCTCTCTCATCTATACCGATCAGTATCTATATATTCTACCTCTATTCACATCTCTCTCTCTCCTATCTCTCTCTCTCTCATCTATCTAGCTGTCTGTCTATCTGTCCGTCCATCCATCCATCCAATCTATCTAGTATATGTGTGTGTGTGTGTATAAAAACCAAACCAAACATAATCTTTTAAGGCAAGCAGATTTCACTTGCTTGTGGGGAAGCTGCAACAGTGTAGGGGTGAAAAACGTTGGTAAGTCACTTTTTTCAGTGCCGCTGTAACTTTAACAAATCACTACATGAATAATTGTAAATCGAGTGCATCACCAAAGTGGGAGTTCTCGCTCACTAATTTCTTTCTTTCTTTCTTTCTTTCTTTCTTTCTTTCTTTCTTTCTTTCTTTCTTTCTTTCTTTCTTTCTTTCTTTCTTTTTGACAGTGTGGTTGTTTTAAATTTGGAAAACATTTCTTTTGTTAAAGTAGTCTAGCAAGCTGTGGCACAATAGAGGTAGTGAGGAAAACCGCCAGATTGGGAGGTAGCAAATTTTCAAGCCAGATCAGATAATTAGTAAGCAATCTTATCCACCTCTCACCTCCTTTTCTCTCTGAACGGTTTTAGTGGAAGGGAAAAATAAAAAGACAGCTTTATGCTCCACTTTTGGGAGGTGGTTGGGGGGGAGAGAATATGTCAGGAATAACAGAATTTTGGATGCTCTGTCATTTGCATTTTCACCTCTACATATTTTCAGAGCAACAGCAGCAGGGATGGTGGGAGCAGAATTTATTTAGTAAATGTATATGCCTCCCGTTGGTTTGAAGCGACTCTGGGCAGCTTACAGTGTAATAAAACAAAGATATAAAAACAATTAAATATAAAAGCAGTAATGTAAATATAAAATAGTTCTATGCTGACAATATCACAGTCTTAAAAGGGGACTAGAGTGCCGTTCAAGGCCCTTTCAGTCATTTTCTTCAGGATCTTCACGGCGACCCTCTAAATATCCGTGTTTATTTCAATTTGAAATATGCGCATAGTGCTCATACTTACGCTTTCCCAGTCAAGAATTGTCTGTTATTCCCCCCCACCAAAGTATGTACCTTAGTTATCTCCGATAGCTTTTTTTTTTTTAATGCAAACACTGTATACATTGTTTAAAAGGAGTTAATTCTGGTTAACTGCACTTTTCTTTCTTTCACTCCTTCTAAAAAGCCACGGATTAAATTTCTGATGGCAGCAAATTAATCCATTTACCGAACTAGAGTTCCATTAGTGCACTGATGTGTAAATGTGTGTCTCCAAGGAGCAGAAGCCAATGTTTATCTTTTGGATTTTGTCCATCACATTTAAAAAGGGGGGTGGGGGGGGAATAGAGCTGTTTTAACCAGATAGACCCCTCCCCTTTTTTCATTCTTTTTTGTGTTTTGTGCTAATTTTTATTCGGATCTAGCAATAAGCATAAAGCAAAAGTAATGATGCCACTCCAAAAATCCTCTGAATCCAAGGAACTGATTTCATTTATGGGCTTATTTGTAGCAGCACCCCTGTCTGGGGACGGTGTTTAGTTTTCTTCTTTACTGCTTGAATCAATCCTTTTTTCCCATCATAAGATTTAGAGACAACAAAGAACGAGAGTCTCACCCCACAATAAACTATAACATGGCTTGTTTGCATTTGGCTGAATGTGTTGGATAAACATTGATTGTAGTGTGGGAAACATGGATTAGATTTTACATCTCACAATCCCCTCAGCAGACTGAGGTGTAATCAGCCATCTCTGGCCACTCTGGAGAAATGATATTACTTATTTATTTGGTTGGGTTTTAGTTATTCAGTTTTGTTTTTTTTAAAAAAAACATTTTATTAGTTTATAATATAGCATACAAAGAAAATACAAAAGTAAACAGTAGAATACAATTCTTTATTGGCCAAGTGTGATTGGACACACAAGTAATTTGTCTTCGTGCATATGCTCTCAATATACATAAGTACACTGAGAGCATATGTACATAAATCAGGCTTATAGTAGTAGAATAGTAGAATAAAAATAGAATAGTAGAATAAGAATAGAATAGAATAGAATTCTTTATTTGCCAAGTGTGATCGGACACACAAGGAATTTGTCTTGGTGCATATTCATATAATAGGGAATTTAGGTCAGGGAAAAGTGAGGGAAATCAAGGGAAAAAAGAAAAAAAATCAAGGGGAAAAAAAAAAGCCATTAACTTCTGACCCCATTGGTGCAGTAAAATAAAACAGTAACATCAAACCTCAACTTTTTACTTGGACATAATGGTATAGATTAAGCATTTCTATCACAACGAATCTATCTAATTGGTAAAACCCCGAAATCAAAGTTTCATTTTTCCCTCCACCTCAAACACAAAGTCCAGAAGTGGTTTCCAAGTAGAAATAAAGATTTTTTTTTCTTTAATCAAAACAGTCAATTTAGCCATCTCTGCTAACTTAATTTATTTGATTCACTTTTCTTGCCACCGGCTTCCTGCCAAATGGGCAACTCACAATACAGTTGGGCCTTGACCGACAACCATTCAGTGTTACAGCAGCACTATAAAAAAGTGACTTGTGACTTGCTTAGGAATGGAAATTGTGGTTGTAAGCTGAGGACTACCCATATATTTGGTTTCCGTTTTACTCCGGTCTTAAAAATCAGGAAGAAAAAAAAATGCTTGCTTAGAAACCGTTAGCATTCTCTGTGGGCCAAAAATCATGGTTAACGTTGAAGCTCTAGATACCAGAAGCTGTAAAAGTTTCCGTGGGGTCTTTAGAGAAGAGATTTGAGGTTAAATCTTTCCCTCCCTCCAAGGTGAATCACTTTTTGAAAAGTCCTCCAACCCTGGGGAGCCTAAATGCACTTTATTGATCCTCCCTCCTTTAATATAAATATTTCAGCAACTTGTGGATGTCGGAAAAATGGATTGAGATATTCGTGCCGCGTATAAAAAAAATCAGATTGTTTTGCTAGATTTTGTCCAAATTTAAAGCTGTCGACATTTCCTGATTTCCTGGGTTGTTGTTTTTTTTTGGGGGGGGGGGGGGGGGAGGAACCCATTTCATATTCCTCAGTTTCTGCTACCTATGAGTAGCTGAACAGAAAAGTTATATTTATATTGTCATTCACTTTTTGTTGTGGTTCGCCGGCAGCAGGTGTGGATGGCTGAGGCCTCGGAGAGCGTGGACTCAGATGAGGGGCCTGCGTGTGATGCAGGGATGGGGCCAGGACCATCAGGGAGTGGAATGCTGCCTACGGAGTTTGTGGAGGCTGGCAGAAGTGATGAAGAGGTTCCTGAGGAGCCTGTGCCCAGCAGCACGGGTGACTCAGGAGAAAGGCTGCAAGGTGATGGCCCCTCCCTTAAGGGATAAAAGCCAGCTGAGAAACCGGAGTTCTTTGCAGGAAGCAAAGAAGTTTTTGCACTCAAGCCTTGTGGATGTTCGGAATATCTTGGTTGGTGTTTAGAGACTCTTTATGTTTGAAATATTTCTTAGTAACTTTATCTAGTGCTCTTGGCAGCCTTGCACCACCTTGGCAAAGTTCGTTCTTATCAGAAACAATTAGTTTGAAACAGCCTTTTAACCGGGAAGGAATGGAATTTGTAAAGAATCATTAAAAGGTTTTTCTGTTACCTCCATTTGGTGTTTGTTTCCTTGGAACCAGGTTTGGGTCAGAACACCTTTCCAAACTGGGCCTTTTCCAAAACCCGCTAGAGGTGATCCTCCACTTGTGATCACAATAGAGCCCAAAATTTATGTTAACTAAGCGAGGCATTTGTTAAATGAATTTTACTCCATTTTATCACCTTCTGTGCCTCGGTTGTTAAGTGAATCACTGCAGTCGTTAACTCAGAAACACGGCCGTTAAATGAATCTGGCTTCATTTACTTTGCTTGTCAGGAGGTCACGAAAGGGCATCAAGAGACCCTGGGACACCGAGACTGTTGTAAATATGAGCCGGTTGCCAAGCGCCCGGGTTTTGATCACGCGACCCTGGGGATGCTGCAATGGTCGTTAAGTGTGAAAAATGGTCATAAGTCGCTTTTTTCAGTGCTGTTGTAACTTCGGTCGTTGAACAAACAGTTGTAAGTGGAGGACTATGCTAAAACTTAACACATTCTCTGAAGTTATAATCACACCTGGTGAAATGTTAAGGACGAAACAAGTTGGTATAATTTGAGGCGGGCCTTACAGCCAAATATGTCACCACAATGAGAATTGGGACCGTAAGTAAGTAAATAAAATGTGCTGGCTCATGGCTAAAGCTCATCTTCAGATAGAGTGTCTTTTTTAACAGGGTAACAGAGTTGGAAGGGACCTTGGAGGTCTTCTAGTCAAACCCCCTGCTCAAGCAGAAGACCTCCAAGCCCTCTTTCAACTCTGTTCATTTGTACTTTTCGGGCCATTAGACAATTAGAATTGAGTTCCTCTCTTCTGTTAGTATATACGTTTTTATGTTTACTTGTTATGTATTTGTATATTGATTTCGTTTGTAATGAAATGTTGTATTCCATGTATTGTACCTATTTTTTCTTTTTAATCTTTAATAAAGTTTATTTTTAATTATAAAAGAAAAAGAATTGAGTTCCTCTCAATTGCTCCCTTCTCTGCAATCAAAAAGGGGAACAAGACTGTGTAGAGAAAATTACACATGTAACAGAATAACAGAGTTGAAAGGGACCTTGGAGGTCTTCTAGTCCAACCCCCTGCTCAAGCAGGAGACCCTATACCATATTTCAGACAAATGGTTGTCTGATCTCTTCTTAAAAGCCTCCGGTGTTGGAGTAGCCACAACTTCTGAAGGCAAGCTGTTCCACTGAGGAATTGTTCAAACTATCAGCAAATTTCTCCTTAGATCTAGGTTGCTTCTCTCCTTGATTAGTTTCCCTCCGTTGCTTCTTGTCCTTCCTGCTTTGGAGAATAGCTTGACTCCCTCTTCTTCTTTGTGGCAGCCCCTCAAATACTGGAATACTGGTATCATGTCCCCCCGCAAGCCATCTTAGCCATCACTTAGTTCCTCTTGTCAGGAGAGAAACCTTTGCAAGCAGTGAAATAAAACCTCTTTTTTTCCTGTGCTTATTTTCAGAACGAAATCAACGAGGTTCCATTCTTTGACGTCCAGTTGCCTTACGAATTGGCATTAAAAATATTTCAGTCCCTTGGCCGACTAGAGCTGGGCAGGTGTGCTCAGGTAAGTCTTACTCTGCTTTCGGTGACAAAATTCAGCAAGACGTGGTGGAAGGGAAAGTAGCGCAATTGAGCGATGATCCTTTTCAGGCCTCCGAGAGAGAAACGGCCTTCAAATTAGCATTGGAGCTGTAACTTGGTTTGACATTTTTTAGCCCTGGAGAATCCCTCCCCCCGCCCCTTCCCCCAATCTCCTCTCTTTCCTAAGATAAACAGAAATTGGAGGGGGGAAATTTCTCTCATAGATATGCAGGAATTTTGCATTTTCGTGTGACCGGTTCATCCTTTGTAGTTTATATTATGGAATGGAATAATTGGAAAAAGTCATTTGTCCCCCACAGTCCCATTGGATTCTCAATGCCAGCGTCTGTCTAGATGAAAGTATTCCTGGTAGAAGGACATTCAACTTTAAACACATGCATTGAAGGGAAATTGGATCTTCTGTCAAACTCTTTTCATTGCTCAGAAGATTTTCCTAACATTCATCCAGAAATGCTTTTCCTGTTACTGTTATTCTGGTTTCTGGGATGATGTGTGATTCATCCCCACCTCATCCCAGTTTGTCTTAAACTATAGGAGTCCCCGTGGATTTTATTTCGCTGGACATTGCTGGCTATAGGGGCCAGTGCTCCACTCAGTTGCAAGGCCAGCACTGTCCGAAAAAGTTTCCGCAGTCATGTGGCCATCATGACATCATGGAGCGCTGTTACTTTCCCACCGAAGTGGTACTTGCACATTCGTGCTTTCGAACTGCTAGGTTGGAAGGAGCTGTAGCAAGGACGGATCAGTACCAAATAAAATGGGCAATTTTGGTGCCTTTGACTGGGAAATTATCCTTCTTTTGATGCAGTCTGCAACGGTGTTTGCATTTTTGGTAGTCACATCATGCTGTTGACTCCTACAAGCAATCCCCCAAATTTCTGCTGCTAAGCAGGATGGTTGGTAAGCGAATTTTGTCCCGTTTTACGATTTTTTTTCTTGCCATAATTGTTAAGGGACTTGTTGCATTTGTTAAATTAATAACGTGGTTGTTAAGTGAATTTGGCTTCCCAATTTGACACAAAAAGGGATCACATGACCCCCTAGGACACTGCAATTGTCATAAATGTGAGTCAGTTGTCTTCTTGCATCTGAATGCAGATCATATGACCATGGGGATGTTGCAACAGTTTTCACAAAAGTATGGAAAATGGTCATGTCATTTTTTTCAGTGCCATTGTAACTTTGAACGGTCATTAAATTGTCATAAGACAAGGAGCACCTGAATTCATCTTAAAAGTCAGTTACAGTATTGCTTTTGGACATAGCCATGAAACTGACCAAGAGATGTTATTGTATATATTTCTATATTTGAAGGTAACACTCCTGACTTGGATACCCATTTTATACACACACTTACACAGAAGTGTAAACCATCTTAGATGTGTAGCAATCCTAAAGTTGTAACTTTTTCTGAGTCTAACAATCCTAAATGTGTCTTTTTTCCAGAAAACAATAATAATAAACTAGTGTTGGTATAAATATCCCAGAAGATTGGCTTCGATCACTCCAGGTGTAAATCCTAGAATGAGGATAAAAGCATGTGAAGGAATAAGGAGGGAAAAACATGACCTTTTTTTGTATAGCTTTGGGTTCTGTTTCTTTTGATTGGGAATGTTTTCCTATCGTACCCATCATCTTTTACACAGGATAGTTGTGCCTCTATCAACCTTCTTAGTTTCCCAAAACTTCTTTCTTCTTCTTATCTGCGTGTTTCTTTATAAATGGCTTTTATCGTACCCTGCAAGGACAATGCCTGTAGAAGAAATCCCTGGATAATTTGAGAGGTGGTGGAGGGCCAAGCAAAGTTCTAGGGTTTTACAAGGCTTTTGAAGTGAAATATGAGGTAAGCCAAAGGCTTTTTAGCCCACTTCCAAAGTGATGGAGCAAAAAGCGAAGTCGTAAACACGAAGGGCTGTTTTCATTTTTCTCTCGGTGCTTTTGATTTTTTTTTTGAAAAGACGGCATCCTTCTTCAGCTAAATGGAATGCCCTGCTGTCTTTTCATTGCCTTTTCCACAGATTTTTTTATTTATTTTTTTAAAAAGATTGCTTAGCAGAGTTCATAGAACTCTGCTAGTTAATGGAGCTGGTTAGCTTAGCAGAGGATCCCCTGGAGAGAGAGTTTTTAAGCTTGGATGGTTGCCAAAGTGGCAACTGACTGATAGCAGAAGAAAAACAGCACTAGAAAATAGCTCCCTTCTTCAAAATCTGCAGAATTGAACCGAGATTGTTACACAAAAGAAAAATGACAATCCTGGGCCTTCCCTGCCAGCATCGATCCCCTGTTTAAGCTATGTCTTTGTTGTTGTAAACAGCAAAGAAAAGTTTCTGTTAGCAGTTGCAAGTTCACACATTCAAAGGAGGCGCCTTTCTTGAACACAATTCAAAATCTCTCGTGTTGAATCAAGGGCCAGAGAGCCTCTTAGTTTAGAAGAGAGTTGTGTTTGTGGTTTCTTAATTGGGACTTTCTGTGTCTCCTAGCTACAGGTAAGGATAAGATAGGTCACAGTGGTTGGATTTAAAAAAAAGGAGAGGGTGAGAACGATTTTGCAGCTAGAAATTGAAACTCATCAAAGAGATTTTTCTCTTTTGGAAGATTTTAAAGAGTAAATAATTCACCAAGGCAAAAGTTAGTCAGGTCTGAATGTTCCTTGATACTGCCCTGTCGGGGAGCGGTAGTAATTCTGTGGGGGGTTTATATTAAGTAAAATTCCTCTTTGCATCAAAACTGGAGAACCCAAATTCAAGGCTGATTAATAAGTTAGAATTGTGTACAGGTATTCCTCTACTTACGATCACATTTGAGAAAAGAATTTTTGTTGCTAAGCAAGATGGTTGTTCAGTGCTCGATTTTACGATGTTTTCTGCCACGGCTGTTATGTGAATCACTGCAGTTGTTCAGTAAAACATGGTCCTAGCGGACAATCATTTCAATAGGAGCCAGTGTTTTGTGCTGATGCTACCAAAAAAGCCAACACGGTTCTAGGCTGCATAAACAGAGGGATAGAATCAAGATCACACGACTTGTTAATACTACTTTATAATGCTTTGATCAGGCCACACCTGGACTATGGTATCCAGTTTTGGTCACCAGGATGTAAAAAAGATGTTGAGACTCTAGAAAGAGTGCAGAGAAGAGCAATAAAGAAGATTAGGGGACTGGAGGCTAAAATGTATAAAGAACGGTTGCAGGAAGTAGATATGTTTAGTCTAATGAAAAGAAGGATTAGGGAGACATGATAGCAGTGTTGCAATATCTCAGGGGCTGCCCCAAAGAAGAGGGAGTCGAGCTATTCTCCAAAGCACCTGAAGGCAAGACAAGAAGCAATGGATGGACACTAATCAGGGAGAAAAGCAATCTAGAACTAAGGAGAAATTTCCTGACAGTCAGAACAATTCATCAGTGGAACGAGTTGCCTCCAGAAATTGTAAATGCTCCAACACTGGAAGTTTTTAAGAAGAGATTGGACAACCGTTTGAAGTGGTGTAGGGTTTCCTGCCTAAGCAGGCGGTTGGACTAGAAGACCTCCAAGGTCCCTTCCAACTCTGTTATTCTAATTCTAGCCAAGGCAGGGGTCGGTGAGTGGGGGCTCTTTCAGGCTTTTTGGCACTGAGTTTCTCACCTGTTGTCACCTCCAGCAGCGCTCCTGGGCTTGGATTGGCGCCAGAGGCGTGCAGCCGCCTGCGTTAAATGGAGCCGCTCACGGCAGCGTACGAAGTGCTTAAGACACTTTCCATTAGGGTTGTGTTTTGTGTGGGTTTTTTTTTTTTTTTGCAGCTGCTCCTCACTTGACAAAGCCGCCATCGGCTCGGCTGTGCCAGTTTCCAGCCTCTTAATGGGCCATTTCGACTTGGAGGCGTCCTCAGAAATTTTTAGCCTGATAAGCCCGCAGGGCTTGAGACTAACCTGATTAAAATCACAGCGGGGATAAAATACCCTTGTTTTATTCGTCCCTTTCCTTTCCGTGACCTGGTCCTTTGATGGGGTTTCTTAAAAAGAGCTTCTTTCGCTTAAATTCGCCCCCCTTCCAAAAAAGGTAAGAAGAAGAAGCGACTTGAAAAGATTTCCCCTTCTCCGTCCTCCTGGATTGGCCCATCTTCCCTTTCGAACGAGCCGCAGTTGACAAATCCTTTTTTTGTTTGTTTGTTTGTTTGCCACCGAGTTCACAAATCTCAGCCTCATCAACGCAAATAACCTCCCCCATGGAAACTGGGCACGAGAGCGTCTCCTTTTAAACACTCGAAGTATTTTACTCCTGCCAAGCAGCTGCCTCTTTGCATAAGGCAGCCCCGTCTTTTAAAAACGCCGCTGCAGCCCACAGCTAGGAAAACAGACGGCGCTGAATGGTTCCACTCTGAAAATCATGTTGCGTGTTGTTGTTGTGGAAAGAGGAAAAGTGGCGCAAGAGCTGAACGTCCAGTTCGCATATCTGTCCGGCGCCGGCCTGGTTTTAGTAAAGTATAGAACCACCGCGGCCACGGAGGTGGATGGAACAGTGGAGTATTTTGCTCTTCGTAGCAAAGTGAGTGTTTTCTGTACATCTAGCTAAGTTTGAGAGAGACTGTGTGATGACCCGGGGTGTGGCACAAAAGCAACAAAGTCACCAAAGTGGGTAAAGGCCCTTTAATTCTTCCAACTTGGCCTCCAATGTCCAGTTATCCTCGGCTGGAGAAAAAACTCTCCCAAGAAGAGTTTTTAAAGGGAAGAAATTCAGTCCGAACCAAAAGTACATATAAATTATAAATAAAAACCAACACAAACCACAAGCTTCAGCAATTAACAAGACAGGGCAGAATAAGGAATTGCAGAGCTCAAAAGATAGCGAAACACACACAGTTGGCGGGACGCCAGAGCCCAGGTAGGACAAACAAAGATAATGCACACTTTGCTTCCAGCAAGTTTCAGTGCGCAAACACCCTCTTTATCCTGTTTTCCCAGCTGCAGCTAATGAAGGGAATCAGGGCCTTTTTCTCCCCCGTAAGCCATGTTGCTCCCTTATCCTCTCCTCCCTGCGTGCCTATGGGCCTGGGTCTTCCTCTGAATGCCCAGCCAGACTGTGCCCTTCCCCAGTTTCCTCCATAGTCACCAGAGCCACACTCCCACTCCCTGTCAGCTGTTCAACCTCCCCTTTGGAATCAGATTCCAACAGGGGCATGACAGACTGTTTGGTGTCTCGGTTAAACTGTCAAGATTATAAACTGGGAGATGGTGAGTTCTGGTTCTACCTTAGGCAGGAGGCAACTTTGAGTGACCTGGGGCCAGTCCCTCTCTCTCAGCCCTGGGAAGGAGGCAATGGCAAGCCACTTTGGAAAACACTAGGCAGCTTTTGAGAATTAAATAGAATTGTATAGAAAAGAAATCCAAGAATGAGCTAAGCAGGTCAGAGCTGAATACAGGTAATCCTCGACATAACGACCAGAATGGAGTCCAACAGGTTGCTAAGCGAGGCAGTTCTCGGGAGAGTTTTGCCCCCATCTTACAACCTTTATGGCCACAGTTGTTAAACGAATCACCGCAGATTCAACTAATTCATTTAACAACCTGGAATTAAGGAGAAACTTCCCGATAGTGAGGACAAATAACCAGCGGAACAGCTCGCCACCAGAAGTTATGTCTAAAATGGTACAAGGTCTCTTGCTTGATCAGGGGGTTGGACTAGAAGACCTCCAAGGTCCCTTCCAGCTCTATTCTGATACATATGGTGAAACCACGCACATAAGCAAACAGTGCCAAAGCCACTGCATTTGGTTAACAACTGCTGTAAATTCAGGCTGGTCACATGACCAACCTGTTTTATGTCTGTTAATGGTTTCCAGCCTCCATTATAGTCATAACTCAAGGAACTACCTGTACATATGTCCAGCCAGGACCTCTTGGGCAAGCATCCTTTCCCCTCAATGTGCTGATTTCTTATTTGCAAGGCAAATCCTTCCTTCCTTCCTTCCTTCCTTCCTTCCTTCCTTCCTTCCTTCCTTCCTTCTTCCCTCCCTCCCTCCCTCCCTCTCTCTCTCTCTCTCTCTCTCTGCCTCTGTGTGTGTGTGTGTGTCTCTGTGTCTCTTCCTATCTCTCTCTCTCTCTCTCTCTCTCTGTCTCTATCTGTGTCTCTCTCTCTCTCTCTCTCTCTCTCTCTCTCTCTCTCTCTCTCTCTCTCTCTCTCTCTTGGTGTTTCTCTCTTTCTCTGTCTCTCTCTTCCCCCCAACCCAACAAGGATGTAATTATTGTGAGAGATTAAAAATGTCATGTTTTACCTGCAGGCTGCAGTCTGTTTCACGTTGCTATCTCATTAGGCCGTAAACGCCGAGCGAGCCATTGTGCGGGGAAGGCCGCCTCGCCCCCTTCCTTTGCATAACCGAGATTTCTTTTCATAGCAACACTTCACATCTCCAGCTTTTCCGTCTTCGTAACCAGAGGCAACCAATCTCCAGCCTTTTGAGTGTCACTCTGCAGACTTGCCCGTCCCTGCCCCTGGCACAGGCCTTCGTTGTGTTTATGTCCCTTTATTATTGGCATGGTTATTTTTGAGAAAAGTAGGTGGGGGAGGGGAAACAATTCCGGGCTTGGGTTTGTTTTTGTTTTGCAGAGTTTTTCAGCACCGATAATTTTGGAGCTGCTTGGAAATTGGCTTCCCTGAGATGTTTTTTCCCCCTCCCTGCTAGTCCGCCTTTAAAATGTAAAGAAATTGGAATTTAAGAATTCGTTGAGATGTGGGTGACTTCAGTGTGGATTTCCTTGAGTAAATAAACTTGAACCTTAACTTTTGGGGACAGAAAGAAAGCGTGTCCCATGATTTGGATCTCTGGTCTTGGCTCTGCCGTTTATGTTTTACCAAGAAAGGAGAATTATTTGTAGCTCAGAGTTGAAATGAGGGGTCCTTCCTTCGTGCCCTCTAAGCTTGGTTGTTTTCTTGCAGATGTTTCATGACCCAACTAGGTAACGTGTCATTTCATAAAATATTTCTACGGTCTTTTTAGAGTTGCCAACAGAAAGAGAGGGAGGAGCAGTGCGGTAGCTTGCAAACCAAAACTGCATTCCATAAATGTTTTCAGAGATAGTTTCTAGGTGACCGAAGTTTCTGCCTTGCAAAATCCTAACTGGAGAGCACGATTGATGACTCTTGGCTAAGGATGTGTCCCATTGGAGAATATGAATTATGATACAGCCAGAGAGGTGGGGGGAAAACCAGGGTCAAGGGTGACAATGAATGATGTGTCTCAGAGTCAGCTACACCCAGGCACTGCCGGACATGTTAACTCCCGGTATAAATCCTTTTGAAGTTTTGGAAGTTTGGCTCGAGACTCACGATTTAATTGGGGGTAACTGCCGGAATCCTGACATAACATACATTTAAGAATTTTTTAAAATCCTATTTTAATGTTAGTGCAGGGCCTGTTTGGGGGGGTGATGCATATCATAGTCACTGAGAGCATCGTGCTTCCACTCCCTCCCACTCCCACCCCCACCCGAATGAGAGAACTCTCAGCAATGAGCATTTGTCCTACTTTCAGGTGAGCCGAACGTGGAAGATACTGGCGGAAGACCAAGTCCTGTGGTTCCGGATTTGTCAACGGGAAGGTTATCTGTCTGACTGTCAAATCTCAGACTTCCCCTGTTGGAAACAGACCCTCCGGGAATGTCGGGAAAAGGAGCAGACCCTGCGCACCAACTGGAAAGTAAGGGAGAAGAACTTCTCACTTGAAACACCCTATAAGCTTGTCCCAAGAGAGATCCAGCCTAGAAATAAGGAGGAATTTCCAGACGGAACAATTAATCAGTGGGATGGGTTGCCTTCAGACGTTATGGGTGCTCCATCACTGGAAGTTTTCAAACATAGATTGGACAACCATTTGACCAGGATGGTCGAAATTCTTCTGTGTTGAGCATGGGATTAGACTAAAGACCTCCGAGGTCCTTTCCAGGCCTGGTTCTATGCTTGATAGCAATAGCCCTTTGACTTATATACCGCTTCACAGTGCTTTTACAGTCCTCTCCAAGTGGTTTGCAGCAGGGGTGGGATTCAAATTTTTAACAACCGGTTCTCTGGGCATGGCTTAGGTGGTGGGCATGGCTTGGTGGGCATGTGACTGGATGGACGTGGCTTGGTGGGCATGTTTTTGGCTGGGCATGGCCAACTCAATATCACTCACATAGAGGCATGCATCTCCTCGCCTGGCCTCTCGTGACTGTGGGGATGCTGCAACAGTCGTAAGTGTGAAAAATGGCCATAAGTCACTTTTTTCAGTGCCATTGTAACTTTGAATGGTCACTCCACACAAGCAAAGTACCAGCAAAGGAGGGGGAAAAAAACTCCAGAGAAATTCCTGAGACAGGAAGTCTAGTCCTGCCAAGAATGTAATACGGGTTAATGGAGAGGCAGTTTCTGTAAGCAACACCAGAATGTTTCCTTCCTGCCTTCCTTACAGGATTAGCCCAGTAATTTCTTCTAACAACCGGTTCTCCGAATTGCTTAGAATGTTAACCGGTTCTAGCGAATAGGTGCAAACTGGTAGAATCCCACCCCTGGTTTGCAGAATCAGCCTGTTGCCCCCAACAATCTGGGTCCTCATTTTACCCACCTCGGAAGGATGGAAGGCTGTTGTGGGGGACCTGAGGGACTGGACCAAACCCAATCCTTGTCTTCCTTCGCAGAACCGCATCGGGGTTATGAGCCAGTTGCAGCACGAAGTCGGGAACATTCTGTGTGACGTGCATTCCTGCAACGGAGTGGTCATTGCTGGGTGAGTCTGGGGCTGAGGGCTCATCTAGAATTCTCCTCCTGTCTCCTTGGCCACCTGAATGTTTCTTGTGACCATTTGTGGTCCAGAGAATAGAACGGGAATTGACAAAACTGTTTCATGAGGCCAGTGATGGGGAACCTTTTTGTTGTGGTGTGCCGAGAGCATGCCTGCGCGTGCTGGTACCCACAGTGCAATGCGCCCCCTCCCTGCACATGTGCGTGCAACACCCCCGCCCCCTTACCTGCACTGTGCACGCGCGCTCCTTCCAGCTGATTATTGGCTCGTTTGAGGCCGTTTTCGCCCTCCCGGAGCCTCGAGGGAAGCCTCTGTAGCCTCGGGAGGCTGAAAACGGGCCTGTTTCAGCACTTCCGGACTTGAATACCCTGATTCTACAAAAATCCACCCTACTTGGAACAGC